CTACTTCCAAGTAATCTTTAAGATCTGACCCTCTGCTCACTGCCCTTTCCCCATTTCCCATTTCATTTTGGTAGAGTTATTAGTAGTTGAATGCCTTCTTTGTGACATACCTTTTACGTGCATTATCACTAATCTTAATATCAGCAATGCAAAAATGGCACTACTTCTGCTTTATCAATGTAGAAAATGAGGCACAGAGAAGCAAAGCAACTTCCCCAAGGTCACACAGCTAGTAAATAACAGAAAGGATATTCCAACATGCCTAATTGCTGCCCTCAATCAGTAAGTGAAATTTACTGGATTGAGACCAACATTTCTCTGCCATTTCACAGACTCCTGGGACGGGTGAAGATCTTTAGTATCCTCTAATGCAGTGTTTCCTCTCCCTCCCTCCCTCCCTTCTTTCCTTCCTTTCTTCTTTCCTTCCGTCATAAACTGATTGATTGTAAGAAGCATTTTCATCACAACCCTGCACAATCACACTAACACACACACAATGGAAACAGAGTTTCATAAGGCAATAGTAACTCTTATAGGTGCAATACAGTCCAATTTTGGATCCAAAACTATTTCATTCTTTACAAGTCTGCTTATACGAGGTTGATGTTGCAACTCACTAACTCATCTGACTCACAGCTTCAAAAACCCTGCTCTATTGAGAAAACTGCTTAAACTGACACTGAGTTTGCATGTCAGAGTGTCTGTAAAAGGAGGCAGGGCCAAGCTGGATCTTTTAAGTCTCATAATAATGATTTGTTTACTCGCACGATGTGTGTTTCCTAGGCCACACCAGCCTGAGGGGAAAACTGCGATCAGAATCACAGCACGGGCTGTTCCTTTCTCGTTCTCTTCTTTCACTGGCTCTTCCAGAACCACCAACTCCTCCACAAAGACCCCTCCAGCCTCTGAGAATGCCTAGGGAACTTTGCAGGTATGCTCCTAAACATCACACTTTACCCCTCATTTTCCATTTCTTCTGCTCCAGCTGCCTGCTGGGATGATTTGCCAGTTCCCCTGATGTCTGTGGGGCTGTCTCTGCTGCTGAGCCACTAAGGTGGAGCTGCTTTTGGAGGAAAATCCAATGACTTTGTTGACATGTGAGCCCAGGGCCTGGGTAGGGATGCATCTCCAGTGCCACAGCTCTGTGTATTCCTTCTGGTACCCAAATGCAATGCCACAGTGCCCACCAAAATAGAAAAAACTCCCTTTGTTTCAAGGATCCCAAAATGGATTTCTCTTACCCTCTCTAATTTATTGACGTTCAAGGGCAAAAGGCTGAAAATAATCTCTACACAGTACCGCAACCACCTTCTTTTTCTCCAGCTCTGGACCTGTCCTTGGACTGAGTTTGCTTGTTGCTACTCTTACCCAGACTGGAGAGTTCTTTCTTTCCCAGAAGTCTCCTTGGTTCCCACATGTGAATAGATTCTTGGCAAGGCCACAGTATGTCATCCTGCCCAGAAGTGCCTGCTTCCTAGAACGAGAGTAGACTTAAGCTAAACCCATTTTTATTTGAGAGCTTTTCTTCCCAGGTATCAGGAGTCACATACTTAGAATTCAAGCCCTGTTGCAATGAAGACGATGATGACAATGACCACGACAAATCTTTCCCATGTATCAGAACCCTCGCTAAGCACTTTAGATACATTACTGTATTTCATTTTCTCAGCAATTTATGTGACACATGCTATCGTTATCCTCATTTTACAAGGGCATTTTACAAGTGTCCTAGAAAGGTTAAGTAGCCAGCTCATGGTCACATGGCTGGCAAAGGGGACAACCAGCCCTGGACCCACTCAGCCACTCCTCTACAGCTGGAACTGGGTGGTGAGCTGTCTTGGCCAAGGCCTTCCAGCCTCCCTGGGCCTCCTTCCAGCTCTGTTTTCCTCCTTTCTAGGCCCCTGTCCTGAAAGCCCCAGGTGGGGTGCCAAGCCTTATCTAAAGGCCTTCGAGTAGGTGGAAACCCCTAAGCTTCTCCCCTCCCACTTCCCATAGCCTCTCTGTGCCTTACCAGGGCTTCCAGAGGAGGACGTCTCAGGAAGGGAAGCCTCATCAGAAGTACAGCCCCATCCCCAGGCCCCTCAAGACCTCAGTATAACAACTTTAGTCCTCTGTAGTCCCCTCCTCAGACCCAATTCTGGAGCTTGGAAGTGGTTTCTCCTCCCTAAAAGACCGTCAGCATTCTTCACTACACAGTTAAAATTCTGCCTGATCTCAGTGGGTGTTTTAACTGAATAGGGAATTCAAGTCTGGGCTTAAATGCCATAGAAAAAGAAAAAGTTACTGTTTTTTCAGAATGTCCATTGTAATTTGTCCTTTGAGTCCTCCCCACTGCCCCCCACCCCCCCAGCCCCCACCATGGTCCTTTTTCCACTTAAACTGACCAACTGAACCACCAGATAAATACAGCTGCAAAGTGAATAGTTTGAAAGACCACTCACTTACCCTTCCTTTGACAGTGTCCACAGAACACAAAGCCAAGGGCTGATTAAACAGTGAAACATAGGGAGTGAATTACCCTGTTTGACTACACCCATCAGTTTAACCAAGTATCTGCCAATGTCACCCCATGCTGAGTGGTGGCTCTGCCACTCCTCATCTGCAGCATGTGGTGATATGATCCCAGAATTCTGAGGTCCTTAAAGTTCTCAGAGTCTTTATTTTACAGCCACAAAACACATCATTTACAAGTCAGATAACCAGGGCATGGGTGATCGTTTGAATAAAAATGATCCTCTATAAAATGTTCACCACATAATTATTTTATAGAGCAAGTTTCTATAAGCAGAAGCAGAAACCTGACTTGCGGCCAGCTTTCAAGTGACACTTTTACTGTTTCAAGTGGGGCTTTCCCATAGGTCACGGTTTCTAAGAACCCTGTGATAATCCCCTCCCTTCAGAGAGTCTTTGACAGTGAGGCATTAGTAGAATCCATTCTAAAATCATTACTTCTCTTGGACTATGTTATTTATTTTTTTTCTGTAAAAATTATATTTACAAACTCTCAAAAACTGGTTTAATTATAACAATCTACTGTCCCTTTTGAAGCACAAACCAGATTATATCACTCCTCTGCCTGAAACACTCTAGAGGTCTCCCACTGTTCTTCAGGGTCATGGCCAGGTTGTGGCCAGGCCTTTACATAGGCTGTTCACTCCACCTGGAATGTTCTCCCCAGCCCTCTCTTTTATCCCCACTTACCTTGGAAGTCAGCTCACTTATTACTTTTTCAGGGAATTGTCAAATCCCTTTATGATAACTCAGAGGTGCGATCTGAAGTTTCTTCGGATAAGCACGTCCTGACCACGATAGCTCTATAGTCTATTGCTGCTCATGAAGGCACGTGGGTTGCTCACGGCATGCACGACACCGTCCAGGCACTGGGTTTACGGCAGGGTCTCTAGGTTCATGGAGCCTCCAGTCTTCTGTGTAAATAGACGATAGTCAAATACAAGAATGAACAGACTACCACTGCCCTCCCCTCACAGAATTAAATGAGTGATTGCTGTAAGCATGGGGCACGCATTGAGAGGGGACAGGTAGACTGTCAATGCATCAAGCTCCCAGGGAGGATGAATTTATGTCCCCATGACACATTTGCTCAAACAATCCTTTGACTACATTCAGTCTGAGAAGCTGAGAGAGAAAGGGTCATGGACTGACATCCCCTGGGCCAGCTTGAGGGATGGTTGCCTCCAGCACAGTAAGAGGAGTAAGTCTATTTTCCTCCTCTTTCTCCATCCTAAGAGTCCCCTCAAGCTCTTGGACTATACCATCCTGCCCCAATGCCAGCACTTTAGTTATTTCTTTTTTAAATGAATTTCCATTTCCAAAGGTGCATGCTCTTTTCTATCAAATATGACAGTAGTCTAACCTACCATTTTAAAAAATTATTTTTTAATCCCCACCTGAGGACATTTTTAAATTGCTTTTAGAGAGAGAGGAAGGGGGAGAGAGAAAGAGAGAGGGAGAGAAACATTGATATGAGAGAGAACATCATCGGTTGCCTTTCCTATGTGCCCCACGTGGAGAGGATCAGGCTGGCAACTAGCGTATGTGCCCTGACTGAGAATTGAACCCACAGCCTTTCAGTCCACCAGACAATGTTCCAAACAACTGAATCACACCGGCCAGTGCTAACCTGCCATTTTGATTTTTTGTTCATAGTATTTATAGAACATCTATAGTATCTTCCCCTTTTGATACACAGGGGAATAGATCCAAAGACATCAGCTAGTTTATGGCAGAACTGGGACCTCAAAGCAAGGTCTCCCACTCTTGGGCCAGCATTTTCCCCACCCTATCTCAGCCCCCTGGGCTAAGCCTAGCCTTTTTCAGAGCCCTGAGAAGCTAAAGTTGGCCGCCTCCTGCTGGCAGGAGTTCCTTCCAGCTTTGGGTGCTACTGCTCAAGAAGAGACAGTTCCAGAAGCGAGGAGGGTAGATTATGCACAGAGCCAGTCTATGCTTGTTTTCCTCCTTCATGAGAATGGCTTGCACATTGTGGGGTGGGAGGGGGGAGGGGGGACCATGAAAACCAATAATTCATGATGGTTGATAAGTGTCAGGAAAGTATTTACTCACATTCATTCCCCGAAAGTCACATTCTCCATATGTTCTTTTTTGTCTTTCAACGATGCCATCAGTCAGGTGAACAGCAAGAAAGACCGAGACTTAAGCCAAATGCTGCGGAGGGAGAGAGTTTCGTCAAACTTCATTTTTCCAGCCAGGGCTGGCTCCCAAACCAGTTTTTCTGACTAGGTTGTTTGCCACATGAAAAGCAAATTCCCAGAGGTTTCTGAGATTACTGAGAGAGATTGGATGCAAGATGACGGCTGCCACCCACCAGCCCTCCCGCCCACCCACCCACTAATAAGACATAATGCCGTCCTATTTTTGGTAACAATTAAAGGGCCTCCGGGTGCCAGCAGAAAGCTGTTTATTTTGTTACATCACTTCACTTTGCCTTCGAAGGCTGGTCTGTGCTCAGTGTTTTCCTGGTGATGCAAGTCGGCTCTCTGCTCCAGCACTTGGATCCCTCCCATCTCGCAGCACCTCACAGGTCTCTTCCCGGAGCAGTGCATTGCTGGAGCGAGGAGCCTCTCACGAATCAGCTGCAGGTCCCCGTTTTGAAAAGCAGAGATACAGAGGCAAAAGAAAAGGGTGGACTCCTATGTGACCTGGTCTCAGAGCAAGACAATCACCAGCTGAATTCCAGAAGCCCTGTTCATGTTTGGGGAGATTTATTCGACTGCATGGAATCAGAGAGAAGCCAAAGGATGGGAAATGCCTGCATCCCCCTGAAAAGAATTGCTTATTTTCTATGTCTCTTATCTGCGCTTTTGCTGACTGAGGGGAAGAAACCAGCGAAGCCAAAATGCCCTGCTGTGTGTACTTGTACCAAAGATAATGCTTTATGTGAGAATGCCAGAGCCATTCCACGCACCGTTCCTCCTGATGTTATCTCATTGTAAGGCCCGTAAGCATTTGCTATCTAATTTACGATTTAAAAATTCCAGCCGGTGTATTTGGGGCTTTGTATGTACTGGTGGAAGGGCATGGAGAGCGAGATTCCTCTTGCACACTTGGCCATTTGACAATGCTAACATTTTGCTGCATTAAGAAATTTTGATCTTTTATTAGCTGTTACGGAACATGCTTAGATGCCCCCCACCCCTGAACATTATTATGAGAAACCTGTAGCAGATTCATTTCTCCTACTTCATCTGGGAAGGAACAGTATCGTACTTCATAAAATAGTGCCAAAATGACTGTTTTGCTAAACTGGATTAACATAAGGTTTGTTCTGTGTGTGTGTGTGTGTGTCTCTCTGTGTGTCTGTCTGTTTGTTTGTTTTCTTTCAGATCCTTTGTGAGATCTGGTTTTACTGAAATCTCAGAAGGGAGTTTTTTATTCACACCATCGCTGCAGCTCTTGTGAGAAATATTTATATCATGACTATTTTTAATATAGCATATATTTAGATAAGCCCTCTAGTAAAATAATCTTAACATTAATTTTGTCGAATGTGATTATATTGCTGGAAAGAAAAACAATATCAGTAAAGTGAGAGGTACATGGGTTTTTTTGCGACTTGACACCAAAGGTGCAGGTTGATCCTTGCAATGGTAAATTTGCTAACCTATAATGCTGTCTACATTCATGACTATTTATGAAGTTGTAGGAATGTTGCAACAATGATTCCAATTCCATTCCATTATTTTACTTTCATTTTTAACTTGGGAACTTTGGTTATTTTGCCCTGGAGTTTCTGAATTAGTCAATACAGAACCCAGCGTAACATATGTGCTCAAGATGTTGTCTCCCGGGGATCCGGGGCAGGCTGCTACTCTGTATGATTTACCATGTGGAGAAAAGAAATCTTGGTTCTTTCTAGGTAATTCCTTAAAAGATTGATTCTGGAGAGATTGTTTTCTAATCTTATCTAATTTATAACTAGTCTCCTTACAAGAAGGGAAAGAAAATATTAATGTAGGATAGTGCAAAGGATTAGTCTTTGCTGCGTGTTTTGAGTTAGCCACAAGGGAACTACATATTCAGTCTATGTCTCAAAATAGTCAAAAAATAATATTTGACTCAGAGTTCCCTACAGGCATAATGTCATATGTATAATTTTTTTTCTGACGTGTAATGTTTGGCTATTGGAATGCTACATAGTAGGACCATGTGGAAGTCAAGAGGTCCCTTGTGCTCAGGTGTTAGGCAATAGATTGGGGTTGTAATTAACATGCTTCCAGAAGGGAATTAGCCAAATTGATCAACTGAGTTTTGGTTATCTTAACTGCATGATTCAGGACCCAAGGTTTTTTTTGGAGGGGGGATTGCTTGTTTTTGTTTTCTTGCCTTAATTGGCCATTTTGGCTGTGTGAAGTTACATATATACAGAGACCAACAATATGGATTTGAAATGGAAGAGAACTGTATATAAATTTCACCCCGCCACCCACCAGAAACTAGACTTGTAATCTTGTGCAAATGATTAAATCTCTCTGAGCCTCAGTCTCCTCCTCTGTAAAATGGAGGTGGTAACACATTGAAGGGGTTTTATCAGAGATAAATAAGATTTTAGCAGATAAAGTGTTTGGCATAGGGTCAAATGGTGACACATTTATAAATGGTAGGTTTAAAAATTTTAACATAAAGCTAGCTTTAAAAAATCACTTAATCTATTGTTTGATCTATATGAAATCCCAAAACTGGTTTGACTATTTTATTAAAGCAAAGCCTGATCAGGTGTTTTGACATTATGTAACAGTGTTGGCTAATGTCCTACTAGCTAATGTCTTCGAGTGATTAACAATTGAGAAGAATATTCCTAAGGGACTTATGTGTTTGACTGATGGCTAATGGTATGATTAGGGGAAGTATTAGCACATCAAACAAACCCAAAATAGATAGTTGTTAGCACGTGAAGTGTCAGTCTCCGCTGCTGGGATTCTTCTATACAATAAGAATTGGTTGTATCTGATAAAGTGATAAATGGTGCTTATGTTGCTCATTTGTTAAGTAAATAAACGACTCATTTAAACAGCATCCTTCTCATGAGCTAAGTCACCTCTTTCCCCAGGATAGTTAAATAGATCAATTCTTAAAATTCAAGAGGTCTCAGTGGACACATTCTACTCATATTCTGACACTAGATGGCCTTTAGCTGTGACACGGAAAGCCTGAACTGATCGGCCTAATTGGTCAGCACATCTCCACTTTGGTTTTGCTGGGTGGACCCAGCCTCGGCAAGCACAGATGCTGGACAATGTTATAGAAATAGTTCCCGGCTGCTGCAGGGTAATGTGATTACACGTATTTAGAATCACAGGGGGAAGCCAAGGAACTGGTTTTTAAATAGCCCACACAGAGTGTGTGCCATGCCCCCGTGTCCCATACTCCGAGTTCCTATGGAACATTCCAGCCCTTATTTCTAAAAGCAGTACGGGTTTCAGAAGTAACAAAAGGGAGAGTAATTCTTGCCCTGTATGTCCTGACTTAACTCAGTAGCTAACTTCCACATGGCAGATTTGTGCCAGGGCTGATCTTACACAAAACTGTCAGGGGTCGAATATCATCTCCAGTTTCCAGGACTCTGTTTCCTAAAGATTTTGTTCCCCATTATTCCTGCCCAATGTTCTCTGTTTCCTCCCATCCTCAGAAAAGGGTCTCATAAGCTCATTTTCACTGAGGAAGTACATGCTGAGCTTCCAAATATTAACTGTGCTGTAATCATAACAATGGTGAAAATGGATAGTTCACAGACAAGGAGTTCCCCTGTGGCACAGGGCCATCCACGGCTCTGAAAACCCTACATAAGCTGCTGACCCCGCATAGAACAATGACCAAGGGGCCTTAATCTGCCTTTGCATGATTTTTGCCATCAACTTAGGCCTGGGTCACACCAGCATTGCTTGGGGTTTACAATGAATTCTAACAGCATTTGTGACCACAGATTACCAAACTGACCTGTCATATCCTGCAAAGTGATAAACTTCAGAAGCAATTCTGCTTGATTGGCATACAAAGGCAGTTGGTTTCTTGCCTGTTGTTGACGAGAGAAAAGAAATGTCCCATTCTCATCATCCACCCTAATAACCTGACAATTTCATTATGACCCCAAGTGCTTTTTCAGAACTTCTATAGGGACGTGGTGAGAAGTACTTTTTGAAATGTCAGCCTGGGGTACTGAGGGAACTAGTCATGGTTTCTCCTTAGATTACACACAGTGTCTGGGGAAGGCTGTGGCTGGTGATGTGTGTTGGAGAACGAGAAAAAACAAAAGCGCCCCCTCTGGAGAGACAGAAGACAAAGAATAAAATTATCCAATAAAAGTTCATCAGATTAGTTGTATAAAACATATATTTTAAAATATCTAATTTATTGTTTTAAACAACAGCAACAAACCTTTCCCAAGAAAATGCAATTTCATTGATGTTTTCCACAGGGCCAGCTGTGAAACATAACCAATGAGAACAATTATTCATTCTAGTTTGCTTTTTGTGATAGGGAGAGATGCTTGCAGTGAATGTAATTTACAGAAATAAATGTGTTTTCACACATTACAGCCCTGTTCTTCCCAACTACAGACTGAAATTCCCAATGATATAGACTCATTGCAGAAATAAAATTCAAATTTAAGAGTATGAAATGTGGCCACATTGCCATTTGTTTATAAAACTTTTAACAACCTAAATGCCTCTGACTCTTAAGGGAGTTCTGTTTGCAAGAAGTAAATTACAGGGTTGGTGTTAGTATGATGCTTTAAAAAATATTGTCTATATATAAAAATCCAGTGTGACCAGAAAAATTTCTGTTTATTCCAATGAGATTTCATCTTGTTTGAAGCAATAGAACTGATCCTTCTGGGGAGGGGGGAATTATTATTCCTTTTATTAATTCACAGTCAACACATAAGTACATAGTCCATAAATTATCAAAAACTAAAAATGAAAATGCCAATAACACCAACAAGATAAATAATAAGTCCATCCTTACTAAGGCTTTATACTTAAGTCCTTCAAAATATTATTTGTCCAGGAAAAAATATCCATAGCCTCTCTTACTTTTACAGTGATTGGCTCTTTTTTTTAATTCCTCTTTATATTAAAAATGTAAGAAAAATGTAGCAATTTTAAATGACTACTCAAGCCAGACCTATCAGCTAAGAGGACTTCTAGAGGAACTATTAGCTGGTTATGGATGAGCATGTTTTCATTTGTGCCCAGCTGATACCCCCGCAATGGACCAAGAAGTAAAAATTTTAGTCATCTAGGCTGTTTTGTCTACAATTTGCCCAGTGATCACTCTGATTTTTAACTTTTAAATTAATTAATCGCTGTAACTGTGTAAACCAGCCCTATACAACACGTGTTTTCTCTGAAAGTATTTCATTCTCTCAGTTATTCAGGCAAGAAACTTAGCAGTAACCTGCCCCTTCTCCCTCACTGTCCACTTCCAATGGGACGAGTCCCCACTCAAGTAGCAGGAGGATCTGCGGCCTCCTCTTTACTCCTGAGCCAAGGCTGTCTTCACTGTGTCACAGGCTTTTGGGGGAGTTTCTGCATTGGCCTCCCTGCTTCTGGTTCACATTCTACCCACCTCACTTAGTGTTACCTTCCTGAAATACAGATCTCACCATGTCACTCTCATGCTTGGATGCCTTTAATGAATGGGTCCCTCGAAACAGAAAGTCTGAATATCTGAGTGAGTATTAATAGAATTTGGCTGTTTGTCCAGGGTCAGGGTCATCCCTCACAATATTGATACCACACATACACACACACCCCCGCCCAACCTCCAATCAGACTGAGGTACCTTATTCCCTGACCTCTTTTTTCTCAAACTCTATGGACTTTGTTGAGGTCTCTGGTACTTTCTGTTATTTATTAGAGCTATTTGTGTTATATCTGCCTGTGTCTCTCATGAAGAATTATCAATAGTTAAGCTCCTAGACAAGAGCCTGGCTGGTATAAGCCTAGACCTTGCTTACCATATATTTGTTGTATTTAATCTATATTTTCATAGACTTTATACTAAAATTATTGTTTTCCTATCAGTAGATAGTCTTGATTATATTCATACTTTCATGTTTGGTCTTGCTATTATATTTCATAGGAACTAATAGTTTGGAGGTCTAGAATGTGAGCTGAACCAAAAAAAAAGAAGAAGAAGAAGATATATTTGCTTATGACATTATGGCATCAAACTTCTTCAACAGAGATTCCCAGTGTACCAGAACTTAAAAAGCAAAGCATCCAAAGCCTGTCCTTAAACCAACTGCCTGAATCTCTTTTGTCCTGCCCTGACTTCCTTTATGCCTTTGACACTTAAAAAATCATATTGAGGCTTTTAGATTCTTTTTTAATTGAATTTATTGGGGTGACATTGCTTAATAAAATTATACAGGTTTCAAGTGTACAAGTCTATA